AGAGAGAGAGAGAGAGAGAGAGAGAGAGAGAGAGAGAGAGAGAGAGTCTGGCGCAGACAGTCGCCATCTCCCATTCAGTGACCTCTGACCTTCAGACGGAGCTTTCAGGCACCTTGTTTGTCTCAGCTCCGGGCTCTCTGGTACCGACACGCTGACCGGCATCCTGTGAGACTCACGCACGCCCTTGAATCTCGATACAAAACCGACTTCTCCGCTGATATAACCAGCATCTAACGGGTCATCATCTCATTAGCAGTGTTGGGATGTTGCTACATTCTGGGTTAAATACTGGTCTGTTTTAGTATGAACTCACAGGTTGTATTTATTTTTTATATATATATATATATATATATATATATATATATATATATATATCATATGTCTTGAGGAAATCTGTGTTTAGCATTGACGCATGAAGCTACAGCCTTGTGTATGTTGTGTGACGTATGAAAGGGTTAAAGGCAGGTTGGCTTGGTACATTTGTCAAACAGAGAAGGTACTACTATTGTTCAAATGTAAGAGTCATGATGGTGAAATAAAGCATTATATTTATATGCAGATACATTCATAGTACAACTGCAAAGTCAATTAACCGCAGAGTCGATTGACAGAAGATTGAATTGGCAACTCGCTATGTCAATTGAATAAGAAAATAATTGTTAGTTGCAGCCCTGATTCTCAGGCTGAAAAAGACAATAAAAAAGGATGCACTAATGTTGCCTTTGGTTTATGATCATGATGAAGGAAACACACCTAACATTAGTGCTGCGATGTATTGTACAAATGTACTTCCATCTAGATGTGTGTCACTGTCCTGCTGCCAGTAAACAGAAAGACTGAAACAAAAGACAACCTGACAGAGCAGCTGTCTGACAAAGACCTTCCCTCATCTCCTGCTGTCACTAGTCCGTTAAGTGGAGCATACCTGCGCTCAAACACACGTGGGAGGACCATGACCTGCAGGTGATCCCGAACATGTAAAGGAACCCGACCTTTCCTACAACAATAAGTGGTTGGACCTAATCATCAGTGTATGAGGCGGGCCGAAGGGGAGCTCCATGCAAATAGTGCTGGTGGCATTTCATAATACACTCTCTTCCTACGCAATAGACGCGCGCCACAGTCTCTCCTGGGCAAACAAGCAAAGTGCTGGGTTTCATCGAGCTCCCAAGAACAACTTGTTACAAACACACGTTCAGCAGAATATTTTGGACATAATCCGTAATAATAAAAAAACTAGTAAGTACGCAGCCTGTTCCAGCAGATAAAGAGCCACAGGGCAGCAGTGTTTACAATGGCCACATGGCCCCCAGCTACCAGCACGTGGCTCGGGTTTTAATAGCCCAGCGCTAATGTAAACACCACACGGCTCCTACGGGAACACTCGACGAGTCGCGACGATGTGTTGCACCCGAATGCAACATTCGGGACGACAACACGTTCAAATATTAACTCGTACAGAGCCGTGTTTATGTTTATGACGGTGGAATCTGGACTCTCCACTGACGGATACACGGATAGTGCGCACACTCCGTCCTGGTTGTGTGAGCCCATATGCGTTTCTATCTAATCAATCCCCAGATTAAAACACGAATTCACATCTTGGTCGCTAATATGAAGACTTTATGAGATAAATAAATAAATATGAGCGTCTTACCAGCAGTACTGAATAAAATGGGGTTACTCTCCTCGGATCGTTCCCCCCAGTCTCCCTCTGTGAAAACGTCCCGAATCTGTCCGTGCAAAAGCTGTCAAAATCCAAGAACGTAATTCCGTGTGTGCATGTGTACGTATCTCCTCCTACGTCTTCACTCCCTCTCCGCTCTCTGCATGCCCAGCCCACTATTACGTAATACGACGCCTTCGGAGTTGACTGTTGGTTCACGATCATATGCCGATTAATCGTTCACGCTGGCCTTTAAACCCTTATGACTACGCTTCTGAGAAACCTCCATCTAGTTATATAACCCGACACCAATGTGTAATGTCCCTGCTCTCCACGGACACCTGACAAACAGTGTGGGAGCAATGATAGAAACCGATGTAAATATCAACTATTTTCATTTATGTGTACATTACTGGTGCGGGATGTATGTGTGTCACTCTTTGTTCACTCTTTATCTGTAACAAAGCTTTTTTTTATTACATTAACTAAACTACGTAAATGCTAAAGCACTTCTCTTGTCTAGGACACTTTGTCCCTTTACTGCTTTTCAATAAATTCAACAAACATGTTATTTCCTAACCGAGATATACTTTGGCAATTGTATTTCCGACCGGGAGGACGGGTTTAGCACGAGCCCCCTGAAGGCAGCACAGGCCGTTCCCTTATCCTGTCATAAACACTGGGCTGAGAGCTTTCATCACAACGCGGAAAAATGACACTTTGTGAATCCACCCTCTGTTCCGGCTGTAAATAGACTTCACCACAGCAGACATCATTACTAAACTAATTATGGAGCAAAGCGTTACCCACACACACCTCCGCCTATACAGCGACGCTGTAGCTACTGAAGACCATGTAGGCTTCTGAAGATGGCTGTCACTGTCACACACTGAGAGCAGTCGCTAATTCGTAGACCGTAAACACGGAAAGGGGATTTACAGAAGAGAAATCACACACACTGCAGTTTGCGAGTGTACCTTGCGTTAAAACAGTTAGATTTGAGGGGGAAAGCGAGAAGGAAACACAATGATGGATCCGCATTCTTCCAAATCTGTCGACCTCCTTCCTCTACGTAGCAGGATTCAGAGAGGAAAACCCACCCTCTTCCGCAGTCTCTCTCTCACAATTTCGCCAACACACCGACCACAATCACGAGAATTACATTCGCAGCCGTACTAGAATCTCTTACTTGTAGGGTGGTCTCCATAAAATCATTTCTGGTGGCTCACAATCCTGACCCCGGCAGGAGAAATCCGATCCGTCATCGCTAGCCCGTCTGGCTAAAACGCCGACGGAGACCTCCTAGTCCGCTACTGGCTGCCTGAGATCCGCCCACCGTCACGTTCCCTGCGTAACGTCACCGCTCCAGCTCGAGTCTGTTCATTCTGGTAAATGCCAGCTTTATCCAGCATGGACAGAATGCTGAAAAAATGCGTTTAGGAAGAAAAATGTGCTCCTCTCACCGGAGAGTGGTTCTCACGCGTCACTTGCAGACTTCACGTGAGAGCAAATATCTGGTCCGGCTGGCAGCAAGGAAGTCCCAGCTAGCTAGCGTTAGCGCTAACCGGTTTAAAGCGCTAACCGGTTTAAAGTGAGCTAGTTTGCGTGTCTTCTGACCCCTGCTACGTGAATTATGTTGATAGTTAAGTGCTACTGTCGCCTTCCTTCCTTATCTAGCTGCTGTGTTAAGGATTAGTAACATGGCGTTTTCCTTAACAGGGCTCCATGTAGCAGCTGTTGGGCCGCTTTCCGCTTTACTGGCTAAAACAAAGGATGTGCGGGGTCTCCATGGTAACCTTTGTTACCCCCAAAATGTAGCGCGCTTCAGGCCCACGACCAGTTTGAGCACAGCGCCTCCCTGTGGACATGTTTATACTGAAACACTGGAAATCCCTGGAAAGAACCAGAAACACAAAATTGATTAATTGAAATTAAAAAGGACTTGCTGTGTGAATAAATGTACGCACCGACTTTGCGACGAAGCCCCTAAATAAGATCTTGGTGACACGTTGATTGCACGCAGGTGGACTTCATTTAACTAATTATGTGACTTCTGAAGATAAATGGTTGCACTCGATTTTATTTAGAAGCTTCATAAAAGGTGGAATTACATATACACTTCGTTTTGTTTTTTTTGTCATTTCACTTCCCGTCACCAATTTTGACTATTTTGTGTAGGTCCATTACATAACATACAAATCCATTTTAATTCTAGTTTATACTGCAATCAGATAGGAAAAACGCACATCAAAACACTTTTGCAAGGCACTGTAGGTCTTGGAATACATAATTAGTTTAGTTCCATTACATAACATAAAAATAGAATATAAGTTATAAATTATATAATGCAATCAGCTAGGAAAAAACATCCAAAATGGGTTGAATACTTTAGGCACTGTAAGTCTCAGTAAAGCCTGGCAGCATGAAAACATGCAAAACGAGAACTGGCTTTAGTGCCGTTGACCAAGTCATATATTGACTCGTGGCAGCAGGGAGACAGCCACAATAAGCTCTACCAGCCTGTACGCACAGCACCACAGCCATAGAAGTGACTGCAGTCATTCTTAATGTTAGTACCACCGTCCTGTGTTTGACAAGTCAAAATGTTCACTGTGACCTAGCTGTGGAAGATTTAAAACTGAATCAATAGTCACTAGAGTGGATCAGAATTCAGGTTTATTGATTATTTCACCAAATGTTTGGAAGATTACATCACAATATTATGTATAGAACCGTATAGCACTTTAATTTCTATGTATCTTACATTGAAAACTTTACAGTCTGCTTTTTTCATTCATTCATTCATATATATATATATATATATATATACACATATACATATATATATATATATATATATATATACATATATACACATATATATATATATATATATA